GACAGAGATTTCATCCGTAACATATTAAGAACTATAAATAAAGTCACCCCAGAAAAAAATAGACTTGAACAAACATTTCACAAAAGATATCCAAATGATATAAAGGTATAAAAAAGGAAGCTCAACTCCATTAGTCTGATGGGAAATACCTACCACTACTACACACACAATAGCTAAAATTAAAAAGACAAGTGGTTAGCTTTCCCTGCTGATAGTGCTCTTGCAAACATGTGAATGTTCCTAACCCCCGCTGAACTTTCTGTAAGAAGTGTGGCAAGCATCAACCCCACAAAGTAACACAGTACAAGAAGGGCAAGGATTCTCTGTATGTGCAGGGAAAGCGGCATTATGACAGGAAGCAGAGTGGTTATGGTGGGCAGACTAAGCCGATTTTCAAAAAAAAAAGGCTAAAACTACAAAGAAGATTGTGCTGAGGCTTGAATGCATTGAGCCTAACTGCAGATCTAAGAAAATGCTGGCTATTAAGAGATGCTAGATATATGCACTCTCTGACCTAACAGTTACACTCCTAGAGGTATGTTTATCTAACAGAAATACATAATGTTCACTAAAAGACACATGCAATAGTGTTCATAGCAACCTATTTGTATTAGCAAACTAGAAATTATTCAAATGCCCATGAACAGTAGAATGGATAAATTGTGGTATATCAACACAAAACAATTACAAGCACAACAATGAGAATGAACTACAAAACCTCAAACATAATATTCACTGTAGGAGGCCTTACATGATGCAAACTAAATGATTCCATATCTATGGTATGTTAGAAGTTAGGACAGTGACCCGAGGGGTAGAGGGGGCAGGAAAGTAATTGTTAGAGGTGCAAGTAGGACTTCTGGCTAGTTATATTCCTTAAACTTCAGTGACATGAGTGTGATCAGTTAATGAAAACTAGGTTTGCATTATGATTTTTATAACTTTTTGTTTCAACAAAAAGTTTAAAAAATCTGTATTCAAAAGATAAGCTATTTTACTAACAGCCAGATTTTTCATATTATACTTCTTTCTTTGGTCAATTACCACCTCTTCAAACTCTGTTGGAATATTGCCTTCAAAATTACCTTACGGTTTTCTCTTGGTTCAAATCTTTAGAATTATTTTCATGTCACAATTCTTCCAGCTCCACACCACTTCTAATTAAATATTTTTGTCCTTATACTTCACAAAAGCATCTTTCCCCCAAAATCATTTCAGCCGTTTTCCAAATTCATATTCATCTTTGTTATTGTACAAAGAGTTTGGGGATTTATAATGCTCTAAGTTGATTTCACACAGATGCAAATTGCTAAGTTTACATACTTGGGGGAAGGGTAGAGAGAGCGCAACAGCAACCAAAATTATTCTTTGGTTTGTAGCAGTAAATACAACATATATGCTAATAACAACTAAATTAATGTTCCTATTAGCGAGGCAATTCAATCATATGCATGGTGAGAATCACTGACAAGATAAAGCTACTATGCAAAAATCAGATTGTTCTTTGGAGACATGTATTTATTTTAAAATAAATTCTATTCATTTTTACATTTATCTCCAAGATTTCTGACATACACACCTACTTGTAAAACAATCAATCACAAGATAGTGACCACTTCTACCACTTCCCAAAGGTCCCTCAGGCCTCTTTATAATCCACCCTTCTCTTTACTCCCAAACCTCAGGCAACCACTGGTGTGATTAGTATGCATTTTCTAGAATTTTACAGAAACCGAATCTTTGAGAAACTACCAAACCATTTCCCAAAGTGGTTTGTTCACGTTCCACCCTCACCAGGACTGCATTAGAGTTCTGGTTCCTTCACAGCCTGTCAGGGTTTGGATATCAAAATTATGCTAATCCCAAAATGAGCTAGGAAATGTATCTCCTCCCTATTCACAAGAATGTGTGTAAAAGGCTGGAATTATGTCTTCCTTGAATGTTGGAGAGAATACTCTAGTGAAACCATCTGGGCCCAGAATTTTCTTTATGGGACGATTGATTAATGACTAATTCAATGTATGAAATGGGTACAGGACTACTTACATTTATATTTCTTCTTACACCAATGTTTGGAAAGGTATTTTTTTTCTAGGAATTTTCCTATAACACGTTTAATGTTGTAGCATATGTAGTAATCCTGTTAGGACATTTGTGCCTGCTCAATCTCAATGTCCTTAGGTTTTACATTTGATATACAGTGTAAAAAGTAGATTTACTTTTTAATTTTAATCTACAAATCTATTAAAATCTTTTAATTATAACCTTCCATCTACATTTTAATGGAATTACTGAGAGTAAGGACATGAGGCAAGGACAAGCAAGGATTTCTGGCTTCCAAATTTTTATCATTCAATAAAAACAAAACTACTAAAGATTGCTTCATGATACTAATCCTTCTACAGAATAATAAATCTAAAGCTTCCCAGTGACACTATCTCCTCTATTTGAATAAAAACTACATTAAATTATTAGGGCATCCTTTAATGTGTAGCCTTTTAAAATTACAATCTGATAAACTTAATTCTCCATCCTTGGTTGATGGGGGTGGAAGGGAGAGATTGATTTTGTTCTAAAGATAAATATAAAACACTTGTAACATTTATACAGTGGTTACTTACTATGTGTCACTGTTTTTAAGCACCAAATATACACTAACCCACTTAATCCTCACAACTACCCCGGGAAGTAGGTACCATTATTATCTCCATTTAGAGATGAAAATATACCACACAGCTAGTCATTAAGTGTTTGATTAAAATCTAGACATTCCAGAGGCCAGGCATCATTTCATTATGCATATTCTTCTAGATGACGATTATCCTTCCACCCTCTTGCCAGGTCATCACGCATCAAATATTTTTCCAGGTACTTTTAAAATCTCCTCGCAACATACATAACCTACCCGGTGCATTCTTGTTTGACTGACAGTTCACGGAAAAACTTTCCCAGAAAGGCTACCAATGGAATTCTCAGTTAAATCGATAAAGATTTTTTTCGTTCTTAGTTACTCCATCTACAACTGCTGAAACACCCTAGAGAAAACCCTCAAAATAGTGATTTAATGAATGTTAAACATGTTCAAGACGTGCACTAAATTATGAACTATACAAAACAGAATACTCTGTCCTCGAAGATTAAACATTTTGCCATTTTATGAGCCATATTCAAGTAATAAGATAATTGCTACTGATAAAGGCACAAAGGAAAAGTGGTTCTTAAGTATTTAAAGAAAGCAAGCTGCCCTTTTACAAGCCTTTCTCTCCCTCCTGGACTCAGGGAACTCTTAACTACAAAAAAACCAACCAACCAACCAAACAAACAAAACCCAAAACAACCCAAGCTTAAAATCTGGCATTTCTCCTCAAGAACTTGGATAAAGGGTAAAATCCTCGTCCCTTTATTAAGAACGTGTCCTTACAAATAAAACTTTAAAACATTCCGTGAGTCAGGGCAAAACAAGGCCATTCATTTTTATAAGTTAAGATTTTCTAAATCGTTTTTCCAAAGTTTATCACCAACACCAGGGAGTTTTCCTTCCCATCGGTGAAATGGAGGCAATACTAAGCTTCCCCATGTATTTTTAAGAAAAGTCACTGCTTCCTACAACACATATATAAAGTGCTTAGAACTGAGCCTGGCGAACGGCAAACCCCGTAAGGGTCGCACAAAGCTGGAAAAAAGGCGACCCGTAACATGAGCTCTCACGACGCTGTCCCACGGGAGGATCCTCCCAGACCTGACGCCGTCAAGTCCCGGCAGCACGTGTCCTCCCGGAGTCCCCTCTCCAGCGGCTTTTTGTCAGCGACAGCGGAGCGCGCAGCCCACATTCCTGAGACGCCCATTGGCCCACGCCCCGGCCGGGCTCTCGGCGGGGCCCGGGCGCTCATTGGCCGTCCCCGCTCAATGAAGCGGCCGCGCCGGTTCCTGCGCGAAACCGCCGCACTCGTGTGCGGAGGAGCCCGAGCGGCAGGGGTGGCTGGCGGTCAGCGTGCCCCGGCAGCAAGCCCTGGCACCTGCGGCCTCGCCCGCGCTCGGACGCCCCAAGACCCCCTACGAGACCTCTCGCTCCCCAAGCCACCAGCCCAGCTCTCTCGCGGGACTGCCGGGGTGGGAAGCTGGGGCCCCAGAGGCCTTTGCTGGCTTCTGCATTCAAGGTTTTCAGTCCCGGGCCCGGCGGGCCTCTAGCTCGTCAACACGGCCAACCCTATTCTGGCCCACCTCGGCAGGACCCCGGCGGCTCGGGAACAGGTTACACACACCAAGGTCAAGAGTCGCGGGGGCACGCCTCGCGGGCTCTGCGGCCGTCGGCGGGGAACGCCCCGACAGGCTTTGGTGCAGAGCGTGCTAGGGCGGCGGTGGGGCCCAGCCACTGCGACACCGCCGCCCCCCCCCACCCCCCCATTCCCGCCGCCCGGGCGCCACACGCCGCCAGCGCGGGCCGAGCTGGAGGCCTGCTCGCCAGCGCCTGCCTGGGACGCGGAGGGCCGCTCCGATCCGCTGCACGCGGGGAGAACGAGCCCGGTTCAGACCCGCGCCCGCCCTCCCTCCCTCCCACAACCCCCGAGGCGGGCACGCCCGAATGAGCGCCTGACCGTGGCCGCCCGGCCACACCTGCCGGGAGGGAGCACCCGCGGCCCCCCAGGCCCCCTCGCCCGGGGCCTCGGACCGCCAAGCCGCTCCGAGCGGCGCCGCCCGCGGCCCAGCCGGGGACGTTACCTGAGCACGCGGCGGCGGCGGCCGCACCGGCCTCCTCCCCTCCCCCCGGGCTGCGCTCGGCCCGGCAACGGCTACGCGAGAAGCCGGCCCGGGCTCCGCATGGACCGGGCGCTCCCTCCAGCACCGGGGGCCCCTCTCGCGGCGTCGAAATAACCCCGAAGTCGGAGCTGCTCCCACCTGAAGGCTGCAGAGCCCGGCTCCCCACCCTCCGCCCATGGTTAGTGTCGCCCAGGCGGCGACAGCCCCAGATCCGACCGTGGGCGAGCGCCGCGGGCACCCACCTTGGGATGGTGCGAAGATCCCCCGATCCTTGACTCGCGTCGGCTTGCTGCTTGGAGAACCAAACCTCCAGTAGCTTCTCGGTCCCTTCGAAAAAATGTGCAGCTTCCATCACCGTGAGACTAGCGAACAACCAACAACCACAGAAAATCAACTAAATTAAATCTCTTCTCCCGCCGCTGCTGCGGATTGTTCCAGCTGTTTCAGGTTCCTTTTTTTTTTTTTTTTTTTGCTACAATTTTATATTAACTTTTTTTTAAAAAAGAATTAATAAAATTTTCCCGGCTTTTGTGTGTGTGTGAGCGAAAAGTTGAACGTGAGTCTGTTGGAAATAGAGGCAGATACAGTTCAGTCTCTTGTAGTCCGCTGTTCCCCCGTTAGAGAGCGAGCTGAGCGAGCGCTAGCTAATGTCGCCGGCCATACTGTGGAAGCGAGAGCGCTGCGTGAGCAGCGCCCTTATATACGCCGTCTCCCTCGAAAGGCCCGGAAGTGACGCACGTCCCGCCCCTGCGGCTCATAGCTGCAGCCGCCTGTCCATCACCGGCCGCCAAGCTGCGGCTGGCTGGCCGCCGGCCGGCGAGGAGCGCGGGGAGCTGCCCGCTGCTGCGGTTCGGGCTCGCGCGGCTCCTAGGGCGGGAGGTGGCCTGACGCTGTCGGCCGGCGGCCTGGGGAGCCGGCATGGCGCGAATAAAGGCTGTGCGGTTGTGTGGACAACGGGTCAGCCGGGAACGTGGGGGGTCCTCGGGAAGGGCGGCGGGGGCGGGGGCGGCGGCCACGCCGGGCTGGCGCGGTGGTTTGACCCGTGCGTTTCGCCGCGATGGCTGGGGCACCTGGCCATTCTCTCAAGTGTGTCCCCCTCCAGGCGGACGAAGCCGGGCGTTCAAACCCAGCATTTGTCAACACTTGACGCACACGTTCCCAGGATCAGATTCGAAGGCGCTTTCATTCACGCCTTAGCTGCTCTATGAAGGCACGCAGTTCTCGACCCGTTTACACAATAGCCAGAAGCGTTGTCTTCTTATTTCAAAAGGGAAAAGCAAGGAGGCTCCCAGCCCTGCAGGGCTCGGGTGCGACCTGCCTCCCACCACGTGGCTCGCCCAAGCCTCGGAGTTGGCCAAGCACAGCAGCTGCCGTGAAGCGCTGGCCACTCCATGCTCCATTAGGTCAACCGGTGGGAATTGACTCTGCAAAACCATTTCTAGAAACGGATTTATTTAATGTAACTTGAAATTGATAATATTTTCCTTTAAATTGTCTGAAGATTAACTAATTGAAAGGGGTCTCCACTGCCTCCAAAATTTACGGTGCTACCATCTCAGTGTATCAGAATGTACATGGAAATTAATGAAAAAGGATCCAAAGCGATCACTAGAGGTTATTTCAAGAACCATGTATCTACTATTTCAGTAATAAACGTAAAGTGTTAAACAGTTGCCAAGTAATATTCATTTTAACCTGCGGTGGCAAAATTGTGATAACAAAGTTATGACTTTTACTCAGAAATAAGAAAAAAAGTCAACCTGACATAAAAATTACCAAGGTGACAAAAGATTTCTCCATCATCCTTAAAGGAAGACTTTCCTTAACTAAAAGTGAAATGTGATCATGTTGTAAGTGTGGAAAACCTAATAAAAAAGACATGGTTTTAAGTTTGCACGCTAGATTCCCTGAAGGGTAGAACTTGTCTTACAAAAGCATTTATTCACATTTCTCCATAAAACCTGTTGAAAGAAGCTGTGTTGTATGGTAGGTACATATACTAATCTCACCATGTTTTTAAAAGCACCCAACTTGGGGACTGGGACAAAAGATAAGAAATGTTACTTATTGTAATAATAATTCAAAGAGAATGTGGTGGTTATACCTGGAATAAAGATAAAAGAAGAATTTGTGTTTTACAAGCTATTCAGTTATTTTGATGTTGCTTATTGAAATGAAGAATCAGTCTATTAAACCACTTCAAACACTAATTGTAGTATAAACATAATTTGGCTTATAATTGCTTATAATTAATTGCTTTTCAATTACTATTATGCTTTTCCCTAATGCAATTTAAGTTCATATAAAAGTGCCAAAAATCTTGGCAAGGTAAGTCCTTCTTAATTTGATACAGGATAATTTTGAAAGTGTCTACCAACTGGACTGGTCCTTTGTAAAATATATTATTTTTCCTTAGTGGCCCCCTCAGATGATTTACCATAGAGCAGCCAGAATGACTTTTTAAACATAAATCCAACTTAACACTTATTAATATTTTAATACTTAATACTTTAAAATTCTCCAGTGGTTTCCTGTCACATTTAACATCAGAATTTCTTTCTTTTTATTTATTTATTTATTTATTTATTTTATTTATTTATTTTTTTAAGGTTACTCCCAGTCAGACAGAACTTTTTATACAAGAAGTATGTCCATGCTTTTCTGAGGAAGGAAAGGTAAATGTAAAGGCATGGGAGGAGGTAGGCCCAAGGAGCCTTATCCTTAACCCCACTGCAGCCTTTACACCCCAGGAAAGTGCAGGATTGGCAAGCTCTCCCTGGGGTGATAGATCAGGACTCAGGTAATAGCGGAAAGCGCCAATCCTACTGTTAAAATGGATACAAGAGAGCATTTCGGGTTTTTCTTTTTAATGCCTGATTTTAAAAAATAAAAAAGGGGGAATTTGCCGGGAGCCGGTCCATGCTTGCTGTTTCAAGGGACCTGGCATATATGGCATACTGTTCTTAATATGTTTGCTCACCTTCTTGGCACTGTGTTTTAACCAAGGTCTCCTCTCTGAGAAAGTTTGTTTCCCCAGGTAGGGATTTTCCCCTGAAGTTAGGGAGGGAATAAAACCCCTCAACTAAGTGCCAGAATTTCTTTCTTTTTTTAAAAAAAAAAAAATGTTTTTATTGATTTCAGATAGAGTAAGGGAGAAGGAGAGAGATATAGAAACATCAATGATGAGAGAGAAACATCCATGGGCCATTTCCTGTACTCCCCCACTGGGGCTGAGCCCAGAACCCAGGCATGTGCCCCGACCAGGAATTGAACCATGACCTCCTTATTCATGGGTTTGAGCAGCATTTGTCACTGAGGTCTTAGCGTAAATGTCACCTCTTCTGAGAGGTCACCCCTAATATTAGGGCACAGACTAAGCTACCATAATAAAGAGATCCCCAAATATAGTAACTCAAAAAAGATTACAGTTTATTTCTCTCTCTCTAGTCCAGAGGTAGACAGGCGGTAAAGGGGGTGAGTAGGCCGCTTGGCCCTATGAGATCATTCAGGGATCCAGGTTCCTTCTAGCCTGTTCCTATCATAGAGTGCAGACTTCATTCACATGATTAAAGCTGGCCCACATCTGTCTGTATTCCAATCTGGGAAAAGGAGAAAAAGAGAAAGTGGAGAAAAACAATTTCCTTATGAAAATAAGATCAGTAAATTGTAATATTAGTTGTGCTGAGTTAGTCATATGTTCACACCCAGCTGCAAGGGAGGCTGGGAAATACGGTTGCTACCTGGGTAGCTAGTTGCCTGGTCAAAACTTGGGCAATTCTATCATTAAAAGAGGGAAAGGATGGGTGTGTTGGGACAATCTGCAGGCCTGCCACATCTTCCCTTACCACCTACTCTGCAGTAGCTAGCTAGTTACTCCCTACCACATCATTCTGGTTTAATTCTCTGCATAATTCTTACTGCTATCTTGTATTTACTTACTATTGTCGGCTCCCTCTCACAGTCAAATTAGACTTTAAGCTATGTAAGTCTTGTTTGTTTTTAAGTGTCCTGATAAATACTACTACTCTTTCAAACTAACCTTATCTCCCAACATTCCACAAGGGCATGAATGCCAAGAGTCAGGATCATTGAGGATCTGTCATATTCACTGGGAACTCCAAAAGGAATTTGTAATTAAGACCACACTACCATTTAATAGCTTCATTGTTGGTTTAATCCAGGGGTGGGCAAACTTTCTGACTCGAGGGCCACAATGGGTTCTTAAACTGGACCGGAGGGCCGGAACAAAAGCATGGATGGAGTGTTTGTGTGAACTAATATAAATTCAAAGTAAACATCATTACATAAAAGGGTACGGTCTTTTTTTTTTTTTATTTTTTATTTTTTTTTTTAGTTTTATTCATTTCAAACGGGCCGGATCTGGCCCGCAGGCCGTAGTTTGCCCACGGCTGGTTTAATCTGTCAACTAAATTGACAATCCATGTCTTTTAGATATCCCATCTCAAACAAGGCACGTAGGTAAGTTTTCATATACTTTTGGATTAAATTTAAAGTGACTGGTTGGTATGCTGGAGCTGGCTTCTTCCTGTTTGCAAAACAGGAAACAAAAGTTTTCAGAACTTTTAGGAGCCAGTGGCATCACATTGGTAGCTTGAAATTGGCCATTGTGGGAGTATTTACTTCATGGAAATTGGTAAACTCTGCAAGCAAGGCTCTTCATACCCTCCAAGAAGTGGGTATTAAACATTTACCAGTATACCACTGGTTGTCACAAACCTGTCACTTTGTGATGTTGAAAACATGGTTTTCTCTACTGTAAATGTTAGTTCTAACACTCAAGACTGTTGTAGGGCTTCATCTATATACATAAAAGGCTAATATGCTAAGTGCCCCTCCCATTGGTCGCTATGGTGCACACTGACCACCAGGGGGCAGATGCTCAACACAGGAGCTGCTGAGCTGCAGTGACTTGGCAGCGGTGGTTCTCAGGTGAGGCACCCCAAAACCAGAGAGGAGGGAGCCTGATTCCTCCTGGGGCCGCATGATTCCACCTTTGGCCATGGATTATGTTGTTGTTGGGGCACTGTCAGCCTCAAATCTGGTTTACTGCACACTTGTGTTTGCATTCCACACCCTGTATGACAGCAACTTTGCAGAGTGCCCTCTCGGGCACTTCGGGACCCCTCAGGGGATGTCAGAGAGCCAGTTTCGCCCCAATCCCAGCAGGCCAGGCCAAGGGACCCCACCTGCTGGAGGGTTGCCCCCCTCGCTCTGCAGATGCCCTTTGAGCTGAGCCAGGGCACCACCCCAGGTGCAGTGGGCTGGGTAGGGTGGATGGGGAGGGAGGTTGGCTCCAGGGCGTGTCTGGCCTGTCTTGCCCAGTCCTGCCCCATTGGCCACCTTCTAATTAATTTCCTTTCAATGTGCACGAATCTGTGCACTGAGTCACTAGTTGTATTATATTGTAAAAAATGATTCGAAAACTATAAAACAGCAAATAAAGATACGATACGGTATTACTACAAAATGCAGAAACAAAAGTACTGAAGAAAGGAATAACACTGCAATGCCTGAGAAGTTTTACATTAAATTGTGAAACAAAAGTGCCCAGGTGTTGGAAGCTAATTCCAGCAGGGCATAATAAAATGCGAAAAGTTCATCAAAAGGTTGATGAATCTTGGGCTTCAGCAGGGCTGAACATCTGCACATACAGGCAGTCCTTGGGG